CCTCCCCCATTTCCAATCAGTCGCTAAGTCTAGTTGATGCTGCCTCCACAATGTACCTATTGCTCGTGCCCTTCTCTGCACTGAGGCAGCCCCCCATTACCATGGTAACCTTTCCCTCTACTATTGTATCAGCCTCCTAACTGAATGCCATTTCCATACTCTCCCCCTAAGTCATCCTCCACACAATTCCCCAAAATAATCTCCCTAAAGCACAAACCTGGCCATGTACTCCCTCATTTAACTACATCTCTTAGTTTTCTTCAAAGCTTAACTCACATACCGCCTCCTAAGGGAAGCCTTTCTTCATCCTATTAGCTATACTTGCTTTAGCCTTCCTCTAATTATTGTGTCTATATTATTTATCTGTTTACATGTTATTTCTCCCCAATATAATATCAGTTTCTTGAGGGCAGACTACTCCTTGAAATTTTCTCTTTGTATCCCAAGTACCTAGGAAAACACATTGCAAATAGGAGGTGCTTAATAAATGCTTGTTGGACTGAAATGGATCGGAATGAACTGCCCAATAGAGGCTTTTTGGAAAGTATCTATTGGTTAGGACTTGGAACTAGGCCTGTAATTTAATTGACATAGAAAACCACCAGGCAACAAAACTAGTTCTACTGGTGCAAGTGATTTAATTCACATGGGGAAGTATCAGGTGACAAAACAACCTTCACGGGAGGCTTTTCTCCAATTTATTGTCTTACAGAGTTGTCTATAGCACTGAGAGATTAAATGACCTAAGTGACAGCCAGCATGTGTCAGAGGCAGGATTTGTACCCAAGTCTTCCTGGTTATGAGGTCAGCTGTCTACTATGCCACACTTCCTCTTGTGAGGAAATGCATTAATAAAATAAAAATAAATACATAAAATAAATGAAAATAGCAAATTACGCCACGTAGGTGACAATTGCTTATGCTACCTCTAACTAGCCTTCTTGTCAGCAACTTCTGCTCTTTCTTGGGCAACTACTATTTTGTGTATCAGAATCCCAAGACTCAGAATTGAAAAGGACTGAAGAGATGACTGATCCAAATCCCTCATTTTTATAGGTAAGGGAACTGAGGCCTGAGAGAGGAAGTAATCAGCCCAGACTCACACAGCTACCAAGGGCTGGAGACGTGATGCCCAGCATCAGTCACCTTTTTCTGGGCCTTATAGATAGGAATAAACTCACCTTGTATAGTCCAGAAGGCAGCTAAAGAATGCATCTGACTGCAGTCATCTCATCACTGTTTATTCCAACTCTGATGCCTACAGTGTGAGGGCTGAGGAGAAATTCTAGTCATGCCCCTGTCCCTCCTGTCACTGAAGTTCTCCATAGTCACCACCGCCATTACTTACCTTAATGGATCCATGGTTGTATCAGCATGAGTTCTCCTTCCACTAACACATCACATCTGGACACCCTTCTATCCTGTGCAGATTCTCGTTCAATGCTCGTGAAACAGGAAATACAACTCAGTGGCTCTGCTCCTACTACTCCCACTCCCACTTACAATCTCTCTCTAGCACTCTCTCCTCTCTACACTCAACTCTCGAGTGGCTATAGAATGGTACTAGATACCCTATCCCATTATCTTATTGCCTTAAGCAAATACCCAGGCAGGAGTAATGGTGCAATCAGGGCCTTCAGCTGTTTGTGGTAGGCGCTGGTGAGGAGGTGGGGCAAAAAGGTAGGAACATCTCAGGGGAATACGTCATTATACCAAGGATCTGTGGTTTCCTCTGACTCTAACACTGATTACAACCCATTTTTAACTCAGTAAATAAATCTCAGAGGATTCTTAAGACTCAGAGAGATTAAGCAACTTATCTATGGTTACTCAGTGTCACAGGTAGGATTTATTTTCATGTCTTTCCTAATTCCAAGGCTAGAATTTTATCTATAGTACCACATTGCTTCTCCTCCAGGAGAGGAGGAGGAGGAGGAATTATAAATAATGTCTATGTGGGCTTTTCTTCACAACAACCCTGTAGCTCTCTTGCCAAGGCACTGACTTCATCATCTTCCATTGGGAGAGTAGTTAAGAAATTCTTAGCTAATCAATCCTAGATATGATAAACATTGAACAAAAAGGAAGGAAGACCAGGAGAGAACTTAGTGGTATCAGTATGGGAGAGGGGAGTGGTGACATGAGAAGGGGAGGCGAGGGAATAGGATGGCTAGGGAAATCAAACAGGGAGTAAGAGAGATAGTTGTAAAAATCTTATACTCTAGTTTTTCAGTCTAGGAATTGTGGTAGAAATAATGGAGGCTCCCTTCCCGGTTACCACTTCCCTCTATGTGGTGTCTTACCCTATTAGAATGTAAGCTCCTTGAAGGTATTGGCTTGCACTTTATAGCTGTATTCCCAAGACTTCAACATAAAAGAAATCCTTTCATTCATTCATTCAATCAATCACTCATTCACTGAGACCTAAAGTGACTTTTCATGGGTAATCAGGATAGACTAATAAGCATCAGAGCTAGGATTTAAACCTATATCTTCTGGCTCTCTCCAATGGTCATGCTGCTCAGAAGACTGAACTTGAGACATGGAAGAGGTCATCTAGTTTGAGTCCCTTATTCTGCTGAGAAAGAAACTGAAGCCCCACAATGCCACTGTTCAATCTTTGAAGTCTCCATTCTGAGCACAGCTTCATTCTCCCTCATTCACAATACTCCTTTTAGGTAAAAACAAGCCTCCATGTCCCCTTTCACCAGAGCAGTCAAGATAGTTAGACATATCCCATTTCTGTTCTGCTGCTGGTGGGAGGCAGCATGGGCAATGAGTATCTTTGCTAGACAGTGGATAACTTGGATTCACTTATTGATGCTTACTAGCAATATGGGTATGGGAAAGTCACTCAAATAGTCTGAGCCTCAGTTTCTTCATTTGCAAAATGGGGAAGATAACAGTGGTAGCATCTACCTTGTAGGGTTGTGAGGAACAGAGAGGAGAAAGTATGTAAAGCAGTTTATATATCTTAAAGTGATATATGGGGTACCCCAGAAGTCTCAGTGTAGTTTTAAGTTTTACTAACTTCAGAAATATAAATGTTACAAACTTACAAAAATAATCATTTGGGGTTTTTTTTGGGGGGGTTTTGTTTGTTTTTTTTGTGAGGCAATAAGGGTTAAGTGACTTGCCCAGGGTCACACAGCTAGTAAGTATATGTCCACCTAGCTGCCTCAAAAATAATCATTTGAAAGTTTAAGTATTTAAATAACTTTTATACTTATTCTTAAATTTTAATAAGACAGTTATTATGCATTAATAAGAGAGTCAGTGTGCATTAAGTATGTGACAGTTCCTGGATGACACTTTCTCAAACCAGTGGATCCATAGAGAAGGTTCTCTTTCTTGGCCACCTTAGTCACTTGATCTATCTCTATTAGACTTTTTCTTATGGGGTCATGTCAAAACTGTCATGTATGCATCAAAACTTTGCCTTTGGATGATCATGAGGCTAGAATTATTATAAACAAATCTTTTTAGTCACCAGGAAGCAGCTGATGGAAGTGTTTACAAAGTTCAAAAAGCCACTAGATGGGCAGCTAGGTGGTGCAGTGGATAGAGCACCGGCCCTGGAGTCAGGAGGACTTGAGTTCAAATCCAGCCTCAGACACATGATACCTGGGCAAGTCACTTAACCCCACTGCCTAGCCAAAAAACAAACAAAAACAAACAAAAAAATTGACTAGAATGATGTACTGCAAAAGATGGTGGTTATAGAGAACTTGAATAAGAAGCACATCAATATCTTTAAAAGTTAAAAAATTAGCTTTGCAAACTTTGGGATAATTAGCCTTGCTCTTTGTAAGTCTGTGGCATTTGTACTTCTGAAGTTACTATAACTGCACTAAGACTTTTGGAATGGGGCAGCTAGGTGGCACAGAGGACAGAGCACCAGCCCTGAAGTCAGGAAGACCTGAGTTCAAATCTGACCTCAGACCAAACACTTGACACTTACTAGCTGTGTGACCCTGGGCAAGTCACTTAACCCCAATTGCCTAAAACAAAACAAAACAAAACAAAAACTTTTGGAATGACCTGTATCAATGTATCATCAGTTGTATTCTCTTCAGGTGGAAGGATATGTCTGAACTCTTAGGTGAACACAAACCGGCCCAAGGTTGTACCCGTTTTGACGGGACTGCAATCTGGTGGGCAGTGAGATATGTCAGAGAGCTTCATGGAGTACCTTCCACTGCTGACACAATGTGTTGCCTACCCCAATGGAAGCAATGCCTTGCTTCCTTTGATCAGGCCCCAAGAGAGCGTGAACCCCTTCCCACCCTAGTTTTCACAGTGGATATTGACAACAGGTATTAGGTGAAAGCCAGCAACTTTATTGGGGAAGGAACAATATGTAAGTCTGGGAAATGGAGAGAAAGAAGGGGAGGGATTGGGGTGAGGGTGGGGATGGGAGTGAGGATACAGTTGTGAACTACACACCAATAACTGAACCCCAGCTCAGAAGTCAGAGACCCTTGAAAGTCCTCAAATTGAAACATCATCAGCTAAAAATCCAAATTAACTGCATATCTTGCTCTTCCACTAGGTTACGATAAGGAACAGAGTCTGTGTCCAGCCCTTTCCATTGGCAGTGGTTACTGCCAAGCACCTTCTGTTCTTTCCATATGTGACTGACAAACATCAAAACACGATCGGGATGATACCTGACGTAGTAGTTTCATGGCGAGTGTCTATGGGTCCTTTGAACCCCAGACTCCAAGAAAACCAAGGGGGAAGTGGTCTGAAAACCACTTAGTACAAAGCAGGAGAAAACTGGCACTTAGTTATAGAAACTAAAATTTATAGGTTTCCTATAGAGATGAGCGGAAAACAAAATTCTTAAACACAAAGATACATCAGACAGTCATGAGTATCTCTGTAGAAATAACATGTCAGCAGGGGATTATAGAATCATGGATTTAGAGATAGAATCGTGGATTTAAAGGCCATCCAGTCCAACCCCTTCATTTTTCAGTTTGGGAAACAGAGGTCCAAAGAGGTTAAGTGACTTGCCCAAGACCATAGTAAGCATCCGATTCAAGATTCAAACCCAGGTCCTCTGATTCCAAAAGTCTTGGACCCTTTAAAAGCACAGTCTTGCAAACAAAAATATGGATCTCTTCTTCTCTCACCACAGAAGGCAAGCAGGGAAAAACAAGATTTACTTATTGAGTGAGGACTTATGATCCTCACTGAATAAATGGCTCCTTGGGAAGCCTGGGCAAATGAGTTTATGGTTATTTGTAAGGTTTCTTTAGCAGAAACTGGCATGGGGCCTTTTGGTCAGATGGGCAATGGGAAAGATTATTAGAATCTAGGACCTGTGTTCCCTCCTTGACTCATCAAAGACTCTTAGTATTGGAGGAGGCTTTAGACATCATCCAATCTAATGCCTCTACACTGAGCACAAACACCACCTATGATAACCCTGAGGAGTCGCCACCCACACTCTGCTGGAAGGCCTCCAGTGGGCAGTCTATTCCACTGCTGGAATATTCCAGTTGTTCAGAAGCTCTTGTAGTGAACAAGAATGTGTCAACCTATAATTTTCACCCACTGATCCTAGTCCTGTCTTCTGGGGCCAAGTTAAACAAGTGTAATCGCTCCTTCTATATGACAACCTGCTGGCAGATAAAGCCCTCAGAGTGAGGGATAAATGGGAAGGCTAACAGGGGAAGAAGTGGAGTTTATGGAAAGAGATATAAGAAGCTCTTCCCCTGCCCTCCTCCCCACTCCATGCAAGATGTATGAATAAAACCTTAGGTGTCTACAAGCCCCTGGTCTCCAAGGATATGGGAAGGAGAGACCCAGAATCAGAGGAATTCCATAGGAAGCAACACAACACAGTGATGGCAGATGTAGCTGGGACATTGTAGAGCAGGCCTGGTCTGAGGTAGCTGAAGCCACAGTCCTATTTGGAGGCATTGCGCAAAGGGCTTGCTTTGGCTTGGCAGACCTCTGGAGACAGCAACAGTGATGGTCCCAGGGCAGGGCATGCTCATTGTTTCGGCCTAGGGGTTTTTCTTTTTCCAGGTCTTTCAGGATACTCCACCAGCAAAAGTTGAGAAATCCATGCCTGCTAAAAGCCAAAGGGATGGCATTGTCTTCTCTGTGCCATTTTCTCTTGGAGAGAGCAGGAAAAAAGCAGGTAGGTAGATAGAGAGATAGATAGACAGACAGACTTGTCTCTTCTAGACTGTGAGCCATGGGAGGTAAAGAATTGCCTGGGGTGGAGCTGAAGTCATATCCACAGAAGGGAAGTCTGTGGTCTCTCCATATGAGACAGACAGATCAAACCAATCACTCTCCAACATGTAGCACTTTGAAATGGAACAGCACGAAGCCTGTGAATAAGGTGGGGAGCAGAAGGGATAGAGACCTGCTTAAAGAAAGGCCTGCAGTCTAAGACATGAAGGCATAGGATGTCTACAGTCAAACACAGGTGCTTCTCAGAAGTGGAGTCTTGAATCTGCTGCAATCCATTTCAGGGTGCGGGGGCCACCCATACTCCTATTACCTTCCTCAAAGACAACAATAACTACTCCATGTTTGAGGCCTGTTTTCTGAGCTGGGTAGATATGCAACAGCAGCAGGGCGACCATTCTGTGGAGGAAACCTTGGTTGTATTCTGTTGGCAAACAGGTACCCTGGTCAGGAACTCTGGCGACTACCAAGCCAGGGGGGAGGGCATTCCTGAGCTACGCTGGCTCTCACAGACCTGCACATCACTGAATGCCCGCTGGAAGAAAAAAAACACAAATCAGGTTGTCCATGTGCCCAGGTGAAGGGATTGGTCCCAAGGAATACGTTTACCTCACAAGCATTTATTGAGGGCCTATTACAAGCCATGTACTTAGGGACAGAGATAACTAAGAGGCAATGTGGTGTAATGGATAGAGAAATGGATGTGGAGTAAGGAAGATCTAGATTCAAATCCTGACTCAGATACTATGTGTGTGACCTTGAGTGGGTCACTTAATTTCTGTTAGCCTCAGTTTCCTCATCTGTAAAATAGGGATAATAACAGCACCTGCTTCAAAGGGAGGTTGTGAGGGTTAAATGAGATAATGGATTTAAAGTACTCTGCAAGCAATAATGAGCTACATGCCAATTATTGGCTATTATTGAGTCAGTGGTTATGAGTGTTGGGTTGAGTCAAGTAACTGTAGTCTAGTCTTCATTGCTAATTCACTGTATAAATGAGAACAAGTCATGGTCCCTCTCTGGGACTCAGTTTCCTCATCTGTAAAGAGAGGAGGTTGGACTAGATTGTGTCCAAAGTCCCTTTCAGTTCTAATATTCCATATTGTTAAGTCCATTCCAGCTCTAATATTCTATGTCTATCTAAAGACCTTACCAGTTCTGACACTAGATTTTTTTTTTGTCCTGAGGACCCCCTGAGTTATAAGGTACATTCTAGCTCTGACCCATCTCCCTTACCTCCACTCCAATTTCTGACATCATCTTCATTAGCTTCAATATTCTGTGTTCTAAGGTTCCTTCCAGCTACAATCTTCTCAGATTCTGTGATATGTAGTTGTCCCTGCACAGCCAGTGCTAAGTACAGACACATTATAGTTTTTGTGGACTCGATGCAGTCCATCTATATTTACGACCAGGAATTCACATTGACTGCTCTGAGCCTTAGAAATCCACTTTAGTCACTGTTCTATGGAGTTTGACCATCCTTGGCCTGCTAAGCCTGGCCATGGAAATGTTACCCATTGCTTATCAGGCAGCCAATGAGAAACTAGCCTTTCTTGATAATCCTTGTTAGGTAGCAAGAATGAACTGAGGTCTAGCTCTGTCTTGGGTGAGGGGACACAATTCACTTCCTGTCTCTGGCCTTTTCAGCTCCAAGGCTCTTCTATTCAAGTCTTGATCTTGGCTTGTCCACACTATTAGTCTGATACCTGCCCACTCATGAACCAACCCTTTTCTTGCAAGAATAGACCCTGATCAGCCATAGTACCTGATTGTGGGAAGAGCATCCTGGAATTTCATCTTTGAGGCATTTCCCCTATTCTTTTAATTTGTCAAGGATTATAGATTTAGTGATAAAACAGATCTTATAGTTCACCTACTCCAAAGCTTTTATTTTACAGATAAAAAAACTGGAGTCTAGAGAAGTTAAGTGAGTGGCCCAAGGTCATACGAGTAATAAGTGACTGGCCCAAAGTCACCATGAGAAATGAACATTTCTCTTATATTTAATAATTAATTATTGTATTAGGACCAAGCTTGTTCTCCTTTTCTAGAAACTAACCAGTGTGGGAAATTTCTCTTAGAGATTCCCCCAGGCCAAGATCTAATAAGACAGTAAAAGAAATTCTAAGTTTGGGCCCATTGGTATATTCCTGCTCATTGTGTTTGCTCAGATAAGTCTGGGAAAATGTTGATTTTCCCTATTATTAAGACAGGTGAACTGGGAATTGATGTCTCTTTGACCAATATTTGACTGACCTAAGACATACCCAAAGATAGCTACCTCCCATGGTGTTAACCAATCAGAAGTGATTAGGTACCCCTGGGGGAACATCTACTCTATGAAAGGCATACAAAATGGTGAGCCCACCACCATGAGAGAGATGGTCTAAAAGAGACAGCCAAATGACCATCCTTTTGTTGTTTATTATTTGTTAATAAAATGATTAAATTACCTAGAATCTATGTCTCTCATACCTTTTCAATCGTCACATCACATAGATAGTAAGTGAATGGCCCACAGGTAGTACTGGAGCTGAAACTCAAAACCAGGTCCTCTGATGCAAAAACCAGTGATCTTCATTCATACTAGGGTAGCACTGATCTATGACCTACACCTTACCTCGAACTTGCTCATAAATTCTGCAAAGATGCCAAAAAAGGCTTCAGAAGTGGTGACTTTGGAGTCTTCGCCAAAAAATGACAGCACCCTGCTAAACTCCTCCATCGCCTTGTGCTGAAGGGTATCCAGAGCCCGCACAGCAGGCTGGGCCATCTCCAGGAAGGACTGAGGGGTCAGGATTAAGGGAAATAAACACCAAGGCCCAGAAAGACAACATAAGCAAAGGAAACTTTGTCTATAGGAATTTTCATGCTGAATCAAGAAAGCAAGATTTTCTTTGGGTGAACAGGGTCTAGAGATAGCCTGCACATAATTAGTAGCCTCCATGCTGGTATTCCCATCACCAGGTCCTTCTTGCTCAGTCTCTGCTACTAGAACAATTATTCCCAAATATCCAAAAAAACTTTGATTGTATCTCCTTCCTATTCAGGAACCCACAACAGCCTAGTATTAACAGGTTCCAAAGTTCTAGGATATTTAATTCTTCACATGTATGTGAAGCATGTGAGCATGATTGAAAAACCTCCCTCCCTCCCTCTCTTTCTCTCTCTGTCTCTGTCTCTCTCTCTCTCTCTCTGTGTCTCTCTCCCTTTCTCTCTCTCTCTCTCTCTCTCTCTCTCTCTCTCTCTCTCTCTCTCTCTCTCTCTCTCTCTTCTTTCTCTCTCTCTGTCTCTCTGTCTCTGTCTCTGTGTCTTTCTCCCTCTCTCTTTCTCTCTTTTTTCTCTCTCTGTCTCTCTCTGTCACTCTGTCTCTTTCTGTCTCAGCCTCTGTCTCTCTCTGTCACTCTCTGTCTCTCTGTCTCTCTTTCTGTAATCTCTCTCTTTCTCTCTCTATCTCAATCTCTTCTTTCTCTCTCTGTCTGTCTCTCTGTCTCTGTCTCTTTCTGTCACTCTCTGTCTCTGTCTGTCTGTCTGTCTCTCTCCCCTATCCTTTGGAGCATATGAGCTATAATGGAAAGAGCCCTGGTCTTGGAGTCAGAAGTCCTAAGTTGGGGCCTGGCTCTGTCACATCCTAGCTCTATAACTATGAACAAGTCACATCAATTCTCTCAGTCTTCTCCTTTGTAAAATGAAAGTGATAACATTTGAACTATCATCTTCACAGGGGTTATGATATATAAAAAGTTTGATAAAATAAAATTAAAAATATGATTAAAAAGTATGATAAAGATCCATGTAGTTGTCAGTTTCTGGGGTTTGTGTTCAGGGCCAGCTCTCTGAGGTGAGGCTAGCCCAGTCCCTGCCAGCTGCAGCCTCTGGCTGTTGGTGCAGGCTGTCCATGTCCAGGAGAAGATAGGCCCTTTTCTGGGAGGATACAGTCATGACCACAGCAAACTTGTCATCACTGGTGGCAGGCATTTTCTGGCAAGCCGTCTGGATTTCACTGATGGTGATGTGTAGGTCAGTAAGGTCCGTAGTTAACATCCTCTGGTTCACTGAGGAAGGATACAGATGGATAGGTAAGAAGAGTCCTCCCAGAGAGGCATGTACAACATGCGGCATATCTCCTCCCCATTTCTACCAGCAGCTTGCTCTGAATATCAAGGGATAAGGCCGCTGCACCAACACTACCAGGGTATAGCTGCTGACCCTTATTTCAGATCCACCTCAGCCCCACCCACCCACCTTGGTGTTTGTCTTACCTTTGGCAGCTAAGGGCACAGTGGGAAGGTCCTTGGCAAATCCCAGGAGTTCAGGGAAATGTTGGCTCAGTGATTTGGCAAGAATGTGCAGGAAGGTGGATTTCCCATCTACAGTTTTAGTTGAGTTCAGCTGGAAAAGGACAAAATAAATCAGGAGCAAGCTTCTCCAAGCAGCTGGGGATCAGGTGGAAGGCAGGGGGCACACAGTATATCAGGATGATTACTCAAGTGTTTCCTGGTTACCATACACATCTACCTTCCTCCTAACCCCCAAACTTTTGTCCTCCCAATGTAAATGTGAGGGCATATGCAGACACACATTTCCTCCTGATGCCTCTTGTGCTCCGCAGCTTATCTTCCTCTGGGGGAAAACTGCCCTTCATCTTGAATCTCTTCCTAACCTCTCCATTCTACTACCTGCTCCGTCCAGAAACCTGACCCTGTTCACACCAATGCCTTGTTTATGGAGCTCTGAATTGGTCCAACCATTCTGGAAAGCAATTTGAAATTAGGTTAAGAAAGTGACTAAAATATCCTTATTCTTTGACCCAGTGATCCTCCTATAGCTAGGCATACACTCTAAGGAGGTCAAAGCTAGAAAGAAAGATGAACCATACACCAAAGAATTTGTAGCAGCACTTTTTATAGTAGCAAAAACAGGATGGGATGAGGACAAGACCTGTGACTTTTTTGGTATGGGGAACTCCCAGATGAAAAAACTCTCTTTACCAATGCAGATCTGCACCTACCCAGTAATTCAAGTCCTAGAGAGTTGCCTAGGGCATTGAAAGGTGAAATATCCAGGTCAAAATCACAAAGGCAACATACACATTAAAGGCATGAACTCAGGTCTTTTTGATTCCAAGGCCAGTTCTTTATCAATATAGCTTCTGAGTGGCAAAACATTATAAACAAAAAAATTGCCTATTGATTGGGGATTGGCAAAACAAATTATGGTACATAAAGGTGATGCAATATTACTGTGCTATTAAAAAAAATCCCACAATTATGAAGGAAGCATGAGGCACGGCAAGACCTCTAAGAGCTGTAGAAAGTGATGTAAATAGAAGCAGGAAAATAATCTATACAATGGCCACAACAATGAAAATGGAAAGAACAACAAAAATCAGCACTGAACATTGTGTAATTATAATGATCGGGCTTGACCCAAGGAAGACAGATGAGATTGTACTTCCTTTTCTTCTTTGCCAAGATGGACAATGATGCATATGTCAACACTGCATATACTGTTAAACTTGACTAACGTGTTAGTTGTGCTGAACTGCTTTTTAAATTTTTTATTCTTTGTCATGTGGAGGGTTAGGAGGCAGGATGTATTGGGAAATGAATGTGACAGAAACACAAAATATATCAACATAATTTTAAAATCAATTTGACTTTATTCCTACTGCCCTCTCCAAAAATTCCTCATTTCATTCCACTGTTCTAGGCTCAGGAACAAAGTGAGGACTGAACAGTACATTGACTGGTCTTCTCTTCCATCTTCTGCCTCTGACTTCATTAAACTTCTCACTGTCATACTTTACTGCCAAGAATCTTGACAACACCTTTGAACCATCTTTATCTTCCCAGTTAACCTTTAAGGATTATTATAATCAGGCCTAGCCTTACAAGGGTAAGTCCCAGTTTATCCCGGCTATCCTTTGGTCCCTAGAGGCTATTCGTATTCTCTGCAGAATATTTTTATAAGTCTATCAGGTCCGATATCTGGTCCTGATTCCCCTTCGGGGGTATGGGCATTCTTGGGAACTCTGGTTTGGCAATTTACATGATTTTAGCATCTTGCATTACATCCAAGTGATGGGATCATAGGTTTAGAACTGGAAGGGTCCCTGGAGGCCATCTAGCCCCAAACTCTCATTTTACAAATGAGGAAACAGGCCCAGAGACATCAAGTAACTTGTGCAAAGTCACAAAGGCATTAAGCAACATCAAACCCAGATGGTCTCACTCCAAAGCCAGTATCTTTTCATTATATCATACTGCCTCCCAGCTGTCCTACCTTCCATCTATTCCATCTGAGGCCTGATTGACCTCTCATATCTCTCCTTGACTTCTGACTTCATCCTGAGTAATTTTGACATTCACGTGAAAAACTTACAGATACGATAGCAATTCAATTAAGCGGGTTTGGGTCGAGCGCCCACTAGCCCTGTTCTAGGCAACGAAAGCAATGTTAGAGAAATACAGCTTCCTCCATTAAGGAGTTTACAGTTTAATTGAGGAGATAAAACTAGGCATTTGAAATAAACAAGGAAAGGTCTAAAGAGATAATTAAAGACTATAGTAATAAAAATGTAAATGACTGGTGATTCAGATCTGGAATGGTCAGGGAAAGCCTCAGGGAAGAGGTGTAATCCATTCTCTCTACTTCTGTGGCACCTTAGACCTCACCACCAGAACGCACTGGTCATCTATTGGTATCTTTATCTCAGTACCTCCGTTCATTCATTCATTCAGCATTTATTAAGAACCTACTGTATGAGCACAACCTCCTTATCCCACATCTCTCCCACACCCACAGAAGTTTTTCTCTGCCCCTAAACAAGGACTTTCACTTTTTAAATCCTTCTCCTACCAGTTAGGCAGCCCACAAACCTCTAAGAAGCACCTAGTAGGCACCAGGCGCCATGCAAAGCAGTGGGAATACAAAGAAAGGCAAAGGACACAAAGAATGGTTCCGGCCCTCAGGGAGTTCGCTGTCTTTCAACTTGCAACTTGCAAACAGCTATGTGCAAAAAAGATACAGACGGGATAAAGTGGAGAAAACCAACAGAGGAAAGGCTAAGATTAAAGGGGGAAGGTGAGGAAAAAAAGGCCTCTTGCAGAAGGTTTTAGCAGGGACTTGAAGGAAGCTTGAGGGCCTGGAGGGAGAGATGGGGAGGAAGAACATTCCAGGTATGGAAATGTCTGAAGAAAATGCCCAGGGCCAAGAGAGAGATGCAGTCTCTTGTATGGAGAACAACAAGGAGGCCAGTGCTGCTGGATCAAAGTGTATGTGGAAGGGGCCAGATTATGGAGGGCTTCAACTGTCCATCTACTGTCCTAAACTTGGATCTTCTACCTAGAACTATGGCCTTAGACACTTAGCCAGGAGTCATCTCCCTCCTAATGGGAAGCAATCAGTGACAGTGCATTCTTAGGGGAGTCAACATGGGTACAATAAAAACTGCTTTGCAGTGCATGCAAAACGTGATGAGGACACATATCTCAAGGTCTGCAATCTAATGAAGGTAGGAGGAACACAGAATCCATCTGAGTCCAGATGGGGAGATAAGACATTTTACTTAGGGATACTCTGGCACCATATTGCTCTGTCTCTTATATGAAACCAGCCCATTCTTGGCCAAGGCTTATCTTTTCTCATCCCTCGTAGGTATCAGCATTGTCTTTTTCATCTCTCTTCCTTCTATTCCCACACCCATCAGAGAGCTTTCTTAATACTCCTTATTACTCAGATAAATGTGTCTTACCTAGTTTCCCAGGCTGAAGGACTCCTGGCTTAAGTCAAGCTGATCTCCTGACTCTCTGGGAGGCAGTTTCTTTCCTGGGCCCTAGGTCCTTCAGAGTTTACCCAGCTGACCCAACTCTTCTTATTCCTTTGTTACTCACTATCTGTCACCCAAATCTGTGTCCTGAGAATGTCAAACTTAGCTTCTATCCAAGGGCTCAGAAGTGATTACTCATTATGGCAGTTCTATCTGTTCTCATTTAACAGACACCAGAGATAGAAGGAGGAACAGAAAGCAAGATCTAGCCCACTCCCCAGAACCAGTACTGACAGAGACCACAGAAGGCTGTTCCATACACCTGAGCTGCTGAGGGAAGCCAGAACTGAGGTGGTTTGGACCAGTCAAAGTCACTAGACAAAGACAGGGTGCCTGCTTCTGTTGGCCTCCTGGCTCTCTTCCCTAGACAACAGTTCAAAATCTCTCTTAAAACCCAAAAAACTTCCTTCACCTCCCCCCACATAACTTCTCCTTCTCTCTGCAACTCATCTCTCTATGCATCCATTTCTCCCTCCACCATCTGCGTCTAGCTAGCTAAGTAAACTAATTGAGTGCATCCCTTGAGCTCAATCCTTTGCTTGATAGTGGAGGATACAACAGGAGAAGACTAAGGCACTGTCCTCAGTCTAGCTAGGAACACAAGGCTAGTACACATGAAATAATGATACAAAACTGTAATCAAGTGCAAAGTGGCATGGTATTGATGATAAATAGGATTTGGGCAGTGAGGTGACACTGGACAGAGTGCTGGGACTGAAATCAGGAGTTCTGATTTCAAATCTGACCCCAGACACTAGATGTATGACCCTGGGCAAGTCACTTAACTTGTTTGCCTTCATTTCCTCATATGTAAAATGATCTGGAAAAGGAAATGGCAAACTACTACAGTATCTTTGCCAAGAAAACCCCAAATGGGGTTGTGAAGAATCCGACACAACTAAAAAACGACTCCATGGATTAGATTTAAATACACAGAAAAGACAGGGGGAAGGGTGCTATTGTCTTTCTTCAGGGGTACAGAAGAGACTTTGGGGTGGGTACCCTGATGTCTAGTGCCTTATGTTGATGTTTTTTCTCTGTTGAATATCTCCTGTTTATCCCATATCTATCTTGTTTGTACATAGCTGTTTGAATGTTACCTTCCCCCATTAGACTTGGAGATCCTGGAGGAAAAGGGGCTGTCTTTTGCCTTTTTTTGTATCCCCAGCATTTAGCACATTGGAAGTGCTTAATTGTTGATTCTTAATTGTTAATAGTTGACTCACCACACATCGTACTGAAGTGCTACTGGAAAGACAGCTATATGTTATTTTATTTCTCTAGGTAATAAGTTAATGAGTAAACAACTCATTGCCCAGAGGACACTTTTGTGATGAAGCCTGACACCTAACTTCTATTTGGGAGGAAGGACTGCCCTGGAGATAAAAAAAAAAGAGTTTAGGAGGTACAATTCCTTAAACAAGTAAGAATGAGAATGAAAGAGATCTCTAAGATGGACTGAGAATCCACCCATGCCTCAGAAACTAGATGTAATACATTCATTAAAAAAAAGTTATTAGTTGACATGTGCAATGTACTGTGGGTGACACAAATATAGATA